AGAGAGAGAGAGAGAGAGAGAGAGAGAGAGAGAGAGAGAGAGAGAGAGAGAGAAATAATGGAGGTTAGCAATTGGAAGCAGGAAGTTGTAATCAGAAAAGCAGACCAAGGAGGAGGTATGGAGGCATGTGTGGGTAGTGGGGAGGTGGCCCACAGGGAAGGGACTCTCTGAGTCACTTGCTGCCTTGGGAATTTGACCTGGGGCCAAGTGCACATAAGGAATGTGGGTAATAGTGGTGGTGGGCAGAGGAATCAGGGAGAGGAATCTTCTAGGGCTGTGGAGCCCTGGAGAATGCAATGCGCAGGTCCAATCTTATCTCTCTGGATCCCGCTTCCCTTGCTAAAGTCCCTGAAAAGAGCCACCTTTCCCCCATTTATAGAGCCCTAGGCAGTTTCTTACAGGATGTGTTCCCTCTGTGCTGAGGCACCATTCTTGTCTGTTTCTCATCAGGAGGAGAAACCGAGGTGACGCTTCCCAGGCCTGGCAGATTTCCTCACCACCTGGGTTCTGCCCTTAGGGGGGTCCTCTTGCAGAAGTTCTCAGCCTCCCACAAGTGAATGTCTCTCCAGCTGAATCATGAGGCAAGCTCAAACTTCTTCTTCTGGATCTGGGTGCTTAGGCTCAAGATGTAACTCCTGTTCCTCATAGGAAGTCTAGAAGTTACTGGAAAAACTGGGGCTTCCTGGTTTCAAGGCCTGTGTGCAGGCTTCCGGTCATGTGTGCAGGTTTCTGGTCATGTGTTTCACTGACCTTCTGATATTGTAAAATGATGTTATCATCCACAGAGTTTACTCTGGAGAACCTAGCGATCGAGTTACAAAAATTAACACCCCTCCCTCCCTCCCTTCCTCCCTCTCTGTCTCTGTCTCTCACACACACAGACACACACAGACACACACACACACAAACACACACACAGACACACACACACACACACGCACACTGTGTTTTAGATACATTTAGGCCTTCAGGGTAGACTGCAGTTTGAACACACCTGGAAACCATGCTCCCGCCCCCAGTTCACAATATGAAGCCTGAAGTCCTAACCCCCAGTACCTTGGAGCATGAGCGTATGGGACACAGATTCTTTCTAGAGGTAATTACATTCAAACTAGGTCAGATGAATGGGCCCCAGTCCAGTCTGCCCAGTGTCTTCTTCAGAAGAGGCTAGGATAGTCCACAGTGACAGCTGTGCTGAGGAACAGTCACATGAGGAGAAGGACGACTGACTACCTGAAAACCATGGAGGGAGTCATACAGCAACCTCATCTAGGCGGCCCTTGAGCTAGGAGTCCCAGCTTCCACAACTGCCAAACAAGAAACCTCTGCTATTTAAGGTTCCCAGTCTTGGTTGTTTTGCAATGTCTGACCTAGCTGATGAACACTGCCCCAACACCTTCTCTGGATGATTGATTACTTCCCTTCCGTCTTGCTAAACCATATGATATTGGCTTAACACAATACAAATGTATATTTCTATAGTCTGGAGGTCGGAAGTCCCAAGTTGGGTCAAGACAGGGCCAGACTGAGAGTGTTGACTTCAGAATACAAGGGGAACTGTAGTGGCACTGTAGACATGGGTAAAGGGCTTGGCTTTGTGCCAAGGGAGAGAGCTGCTTGTGGTTTTGGCTCTTGACTTGCTCTGGAAACATGGCGATATCAACTTTCATTTTCTCATCTGGAAAATGGGGGTGATAGTGCCTTAAATTAAACTTAATTGGGCTGAAAGACCCATGATGTCATATTTGGAGTCCCTTCATAAGGAGCTGAAACCAAATGTGGAAGTAAGTCAACCAAAGCTTAGTGTTGGAGTTTCCTCTGGTAACAAGTAGCTGAGTCTCAGTCAATCACAGCAGCTGAGCGTCAGCCACACACAACAGGCAACTGATCCGACTATGTTCAAATAAGGCAAAGATGGAGCTAGAACCAAATTAGTTGCTTCTGCACCTCACTTCGGCTGTCTCCACTCCCATTTCCCATTTCCTGCCCCCATGGCCCAGCCGAGCCTCTTCTGGTTCTGCGCTGTCTGATGCGACCGTCTTTCTTCAACTTGAAGTCTTTTAAACTTATTTCTACGGTTTTTATTGTTAGCAGACTCTACCTTGTTGGGCTGTGGAAATTAAGTAGAAATTTCAGTTTTGCAGTGGAAGGACAGTAGTGTGATATTAGGTGTTCTGTAAATGCTGGTTGTCATGACAGCTGTGTCTCTATTGTCTGTTTCTTCAGTATTATGTTGACTAGGAGCCTCAAGACAGTGCTACTGCTAGTGTGTGTGTGTGTGTGTGTGTGTGTGTGTGCATGTGCATGCACACATGCTTATGGTGTGGTGTGGCCATGAAATTGGTGTGTCTGATGGAGGTTGGTACAGCTGATAGCTATCAACCAAAGATAAGTCACAAACAGCTGCATCAATCATGGGCATTAAGACTCCCCTTCCTGGGATGGAGAGATGGCTCAATGGTTAGGAGCACTTGCTGCTCTTGCCAGGACCTAGGTTCAGTCCCTAGCACCCATATGGAGGCTCACAACTATAACTCCAGCTCCAGGTCTTCAACCTCGGTGGTCACCAGACGAGCATATGGTACACATACATACATGTCAACAACACACTCATACTTATACCAATAAATCTAAAAAAATACTGTCCATCCCTCCTCCTTATTTCCAGGTAATTCACTGATTGATAGGAAATTGTTTTAAACTGACTTCATGCCTCCACCCTAACACCCCCATTCACCCTTGGAGTTTACACCCATTGTTAGTCACCTTGAATGAACTGGGAGTTGTGGACAGGCCAGATGTCACCCTAAGATAGAACTCTTTGGCTCCTGGAAGGTGCCTATGTGAGTTTTTATCTCCCTCATGTGGAGAAGCAAGAATGTATGTCTGCATTAGTGTGTCTGTGGAGCAGTGCGTGTGTGTACATGCCTGTGTGGACTCAGGGCAGGGAAGAAGGGATTGAGGTCTCTTTTTAGCCTCTTGGATTGAATACTATGGCTCGGAGTGGAGGCATGACCTGAGGTCACAGAACTGAACTGTGCTTCAGTTGGAAATGTCGGCCTGCCTGTGGTGATTGAATTGGAACCTCAGGCCAGGGTATTCAACTGCCTACTTGACAGATTTTGATTCTGGGGGACAGGGAAAGGAAACACAGAGGTAGAGGTCTTGGAGAAGAAGGCAGAAGAAGACAGAAGGGAAAAGGATATACAATCCTTTCCCTATTTGTGTGGCCTTAGGCACAATCCTCAGGTGGTCTCTCCATTTCCTCATCCTGAAAAGGAGTCAGGGTCTTTTCCTTCTTGGGCGAGGACTGTGCATGAACTTAATAAATGAACCAATGGAGTAAAGGATGTTGAGCAGGGCTGGTACCTCCCTGACACCTAGTACGATCAGCTACAGCAAACGCCACCTGAGTGCTGGGTGTGGCCCTGTCACATGGCTCGCCTTCTTTTCCCATTCTACAGTTCCCTCTTCCTTCTGCCTCTCCTCTTCCTACTCTTAGAGCAGACCTAGGGGGAGTCTTTAGAAAGCTAATTTACCAAGGTAGTGCTAGCCAGGCTCCTGTTTGCTGAAACCAAGGCAGTGTGCCCTTCAAAGGAATATGACAACCCTAGACAGAAAGGAATCTCTCCCTCTCACTCCATCTCTTTATCTTTCTTCTCATACAGAAAAAGACAGAAAAGTTGCCCGAGTCAGGTCCCATTAAACTCTCAAGAGCCTCTTGTTCCAACCTGATATAGAATGAGACAAAAACAAAAAGAAAACAAGACAAAGCCCAGGACAAAGCCCAGAAGCAGCAGAAGGGTGTGTGTTTGCTTCCCTGTTCTTAAAGCGTTTGGATGAGGCCTGTTCAACGTGCATCTTCCTTTTCCGTCCCCATCACGAGAGGATCCTCCAGGCACAGTCCTTACCTTATACCAGAGACTCATGAAATGCCCAGCCAGAGGGAACTTCTATGGTTCTTGACTCCAGTTAATTTTTAATTTTTTTTAAAGAGTGACTCATGAGATTGGGGAGATGACTCAGTCAATAAAAGACTTGCTATGCGAGCCCGAGGCCCCTCTGTGGTTCTCCAGCATGTAAGAACTTGGAGGTGGTAACATGACCTTGTTGTCTTTGTGCTGGGAAGAAGAAGATGGAAGGGACTCTGGGGCTTCCTGGCCAGCCAGTTAGTTTCAGACCAATGAGAGACCTTGACTCAGAAATCAAGGTGAATGGTACTTGAGTCTGCCTTCTGGCTCCTGAGCACATGCACACATACACAACACTTGTTCATGAGCACATATACTGGTTCACAGTACTTTAGCACACACACTTGTTCACGAGCACACACATACACTGAGCCACAGTACTTTAGCACACACACACTTGTTCACGAGCACACACATACACTGACTCATAGTACCTTAGTTCTATGTATTAAATCTCCATAGTACTTCAAGTTATGTGATATATGATGGTGGGAAGGTGTGTCTAAGAATCTGGTCAAAGGCCAAACAGCAAGTTACTGGTTGAGCTGGACCTAGAACTAGGTCACTTACTTCTCAGGTCAAGCTTGGACTGGTTGTCACACATTGCCATCTCTGGCACTGGCTGTAGCTTGTGTCTTTCCTTTTGTCTATAATGCAAAGAGATTTCTGTTAAGGTCTGTTTATCCCATGACATCATTGAGGTCATAGTGACTCTCCAGGCAGAGATCTGTGGGACTATGAAGTGTGCAGTGACACAGAGCATGACAACCTTGTCTCAAGGGTTAACCCAGCATTATTGATTCATTCCTCCAGAAAGAATGAGGACATGGCGCCCCTAGGGACAAATTATGTCTCTACTTCCAAACTTGGTGGTCCTAGGCTGGTCAAAGGCGCTAAGAATAAAGATACTTGCTGTCAAACCTGATGGCCTGAGTTTGATCTCTGGGATGGAAGGAGAGAACCAGCTCCAAAATTGGTGCCAGTAATCTCATATAACCAAATCCAGAAAACAGTAACAATTTTTTTTTTTTTTAAAGTTAGACACAGTAGCTCCAGGCAGAGACCTGTTGTCATGGGCTGGTTGCTGTGGGCACACAGGCAGGGGACTGGATCCTCACACAGGGGTTGCTGGGGGTCTCCAGTGGGGCAGCACTAAGCCACCAGGTCAGTTCTAGATCTTAGGCAGCTAGAGGGGGACAAACATCAGTTTCATGTTTCTGCCGTGACTCAGCAGTGACGTAGTGAAAGTTTACCAGCCTTTCGCTCTGGCTCTGTTTCCTTATCTGTGTAAAAAGAAAGAAAGAAAGAAAAAAAACCAAACAGGCAGAGCAGGCTCAGCCTGTGCCTGCTTATAAGGGCAGATAGGACCAAAGGGGGCAGAGTGATTGTGAAATATCTCTGGGGGCATCGTGTGATGTCAAGACCAAGGGGTGGCATGACGCCAGGAGTTTCTGTGAGGGCAGCTGGTATGAGACGAAATGAAGGAAAAGGCTCTCTCTGCCCTCCACCACCGCTGTCACGGTGCAGGGCACTCTGCACTTGACATTTTTTTGAAGATATGCTCTTGACTGTGAATTTTTCTTCGTGAGTAAGAAAGCCCTGTCTAGAGT